AAATACTTTGAAGATCAGCTTGATAAAAACTTGTAAAAAGGTACTGAGACAGAATTGTTATAGGGTAGGATCAGTGGGGTTGAAGTAATGGAGGTATGAAAAAAAGACAATACCCTAATGGAAAAATCTGAGTGAATTATTTGCCTTTGAAAAGAAGCTTAAAGTCTACCCAGTAGAGCCTTTATGGATAGATGACTGAGTTACTGTATTTAGTCAAAGCATTGTTAGGGAAGGTTTTAGAGGAAATTGATGAAATGAGTACTAATACCTGGGACTGCACTGTGTTTGTTTTTTTCCTAAACCAAAAATATTAATCTGCTGAGCTGTTAAGCACAGCATGTAATGTTTCTGAAATCTGTCTTGCTTCCAGAAGAGTTGTAGGTGGTAAATGTTATGGTTGTCCCCTAAAGAGCTTCAGGTTTGGTCTGATTTAAAGTTTTGCTCAATATAAGTATTCTGGAGTATTTTCACATAGATAAATGAGTAAACTGTAATTAGGGAGCAAATCTAAAAGTAGATTGTACCTTGCATCAGTTAAATCACCGAAAGTTCAGATTTGGCACATACAATATTGGATTTTGGGGAGAAAAATTCTAATGGACACTCAAGTTGACTGATTTGTCATGTGGTGGGGAACTCCTTAAAAGTTAAGTAGGAATAAAAGATTTGATTCTTGGGGGAGGTGGGGCAGTGTTGCTAGTGAAAAGTTTGGTAAAGAACCTTGGTGTCTAGAACACAGAATGATCAAGAAAAGGAGATATTACAGCCTTGTCTAACTACATTTTTTCATTGAAATGCAGAGTCATGGAATCATAGAATGGTTTGGGTTGGAAGGGACCTTAAAGACCTTCTAATTCCAACCCCCCTGCCGTGGGCAGGGGACACCTTCCACAAGACCAGGTTGCTCAAAGCCTCATCCAACTTGGCCTTAAACACAGGGCTGGAACATCCTCAGGTTTTCTGGCAAGCCTGTTCCAGTGCCTCACCACCCTCACAGTAAAGAATTTCTCCTAGTATCTAATCTAAACCTGCCCTCTTTCAGTTTAAAGCCATTTCCTCTTGTCCTATTGCTCCATGCTGTGGTAAAAAGTCCCTCTCTAGCTCTCTTGTAGCTCCCTGTAGGTACTGGAAGGCAGAAGTGTTGAAAAACTTAAGGCTGTATAGTACCCTTAAATTTGACACGGTTATTATGATTATTCAAATATTAAATTCTAATAGAACAACAGACTTGAATAACTGGAATTGCTAGTTGCATGTGATGTCTTCTTGGGTTCTTAATTTGTTCAAGACCTACCTAACCAATGCCCTCCCATTTCCCAGCTATCCAGTCCTTATCATGATAAGTTTTTGCAGCAGGCTCAGGTGGTCACAAGTATCAAATGGTTTACCAAAAAATGAGGGGGGGAAATAAGTGTAGTTCTGGTAGATGCTGTAGTGCTAGTGTCCTCTTAATGTAATGAGGACTTACTTTGTAGTAAGTAGTATAGTTCATGCTTGTAGATGTAAAAGGAGAACTGTGTCTGTGTTTACATGAGTGAGCTGGTTAATCAAGCAGTGGGCAGGAAGACAAGCCTTCCTTACTCTCGAGTCAACCCAAGATAATGAATTTCAGCATGGAGAAGAGAAGGAGACATTTCTGCAGCCTTCCAGTACCTTAAGGGAGCTTATAAAAAGGAGGGAGAGGGACTTTTTATACAGGCAGATAGTGACAGGACAAGGGGCAGTGGTTTTGAACTGAAAGAGGGTAGGTTTAGATTAGATATTAGAAAGAAGTTCTTTACTCAGAGGGTGGTGAAGCACTGGAACAGATTGCCCGGAGAGGTTGTGGATGCCCCATCCCTAGAAGCATTCAAGGCCAGATCAGATCGGGCTCTGAGCAACCCGATCTAGTGAGTGGCATCTCTGCTGATGGCAGGGGGGTTGGAACTAGATGATCTTTAAGGTCCCTTCCAACCCAGACCATTCTATGATTCTGTGAAATGAGTGCTGCTATGCAAACTGGTTGAGAACAGTGAAACTAAGATAACGTTTTAAGTACTGCAGTTATGTCCTGTATAGGTTCAAGGTGTGAAGTCTGCTCATTTCTTTTACCTATGTTTGAACTTTATCATGTTTGGTATTTCCTTAGGTGACTGGTGGAAGTGCGGGTCTTTACTGCTGGTCTTCACTGGTACTTTTTTACTCAGGGAGTTATTTGTCCTAACCCAAAAGGAACATGATAGCGACAGTGGAGGTCAGTAGCAAGGATAGGACGTAGGAAGTGTTTTTAATTTTAGTTAGTGTGGGTGATCTTTCTGAGCTGCCAGCGGTCATCCAGCCCTGATTTTCTCTGAATTGCATTCTGATGGTATATGTCTTTTCCACTGATTGTTAAATGAGCCTAGGGGGGATTGCCTTTAGTAGGCTAAAAGTATTTTTCAGTCTTTTGATCTCTCTTAGATAAGAGCTGTAGCAGCATTGTCAGGAATGCGTTCTGAGTGCCCAGTATCTTTAGGGAGCTGAGGTGTTTACAGGGTGGTTTTCCTTTACAGTGTTTAGGTTATAGATCCTAAATAGACTTAGTACCACCGTACTACTTTGTTTCCTCTTGCCACAAGCCTGATTTTGTTTGCATTGAGCTCAGTCAACTTCTGTCACTCATGGTTGATTTT